TTTCTCCACACGCTATGTAACTCTGCAGGGTCTGTTAGTAAAATCTGCAAAAAGTCTTGATCTAATAAGCAGCACTTCTAGCACTATCTACAACTGCATCAACTGGTAGATGGATAAATGATCAGTCTATTACTACACCTCAGAAATATTTAGCAACCAATTCCAAGTACATTTTTAAGCAGAAATGCCAAACACTAAACAGTTTCAGCTTCTCAAATGCAAGAATTCACTGCTTTTCCTGATCTTAGATAATAATGTGATTATCTTTGGATGTTGGACAAAAGAAGACATCTGATGACACGACCTGTGGCTCTAAAAATATTGTATATGATGGCCATTTTGCAAGAAAGTGTAAAACATTCTCCGATTTCCGTTTTTGTAATGTCTCAGATTATCTGTTTTATATAACTGTAATCTGAATATCTTTGGGGTTTTGGCGCTGCATGAAACACGAGACTTGACCTTTGACTCTGGGGGACATTTTTAAACATTTTCTCACACATTTAAAGGCAAAATAAAAATCGTTAATGAAAATAATTGCTATTCCTGGTCTTGACTGACCTTCATTAAAGTTTCAATTTCTATTGTACGGGTACATGTTTGGTGTGTCGACTATATGTCGAATCTGCCACTAGAATCTATTATTTTCGGGGAAAAGGCTTGGTTCTCTTTTCATGAAGCCTCTCTGTGTGCCAAAAGCATAAACCGTAAAATTGAGAGATTTCTGAAAGGAGTTTTGTGTAGAGCGGTATGACCCGCTCTCTCAAAGTCTGCTACAATGCACACTTCGCTACTCTAATAAGAGAGTCTACTATAACCAAGTGAGGACTTACTTTAGCAGAGGCAGAAGTCATTTCTGTGAAGGATATGAAGCTCTTTCCTTTAACGTTATTCCTCAGTCAAAACAAGAACAAAGCTAGCTGCTAGCTAATGTTAGCTTCTGTAACGTTAGCGGGCTTCCATTTAGACTCTTGGAGAGATTCTTTTATACGAAGCTTTAGAAGATACACATCAAATCTGACGCTGCGGTTTAACTTATTATAAATTACATATTAAGGGGAAAAAATACGACTACCGTACAACAAAGGCGGACAGGATATTGGGAATACTACGCAAGTTTAAAAGTTGAACGCCATTAGTCAGATTCAAAGGAAGAGGCGGGGTGCGGAGCATCGGACATTTTCATTGGTCGCTTTGCTATAGATCACGAGAGTTTTCGAAATACACCGAGTACAACCGAGTAATGAGGATCAGCTGACCGTGAGGCTCGGTCGGTCGTCTTACTTGATGGAACATTTCTGAAATCAGCGAACCAGGAAAAGAAAATCAGCTTCTGATCGATCGATAAGACTGAAGACAGACATGCCTTCGCTTCTGTTTTGCGGGCCGAAGATGGCCGCTTGCGGAATAGTTATCAGCATCTGGGGGGTCATCATGCTGGTGAGTAATATGGATCAGTGGAACCGACTATTTCCTAGAATGATACCGATTAGCTGGCTTCGATGAGGCGACTTTAGTAAATAAATGCCGGATCTTTCGGTGCTAATGTCTGTTGAAGTTCCAGGGGAAATCAGGATGATGATAAACAAACAGTGTCGCTAAGTTCCCCCAGACATACGTTATTCTCCGGTAAATAGACGGAGCCCAACAGTTCGAGCTAAATGGCACTGTACAGTGTGCTCATACTGCCCTAGTAATAGATATTATAGCTAAATTTAATGTTGACAAATTGTTCAGTTGATCGGTAATTATTTGGGAACTATTTTGAAATTGGTCAACCGTTTCACTTATTTTTAATTAAAAAAATCACATTTCTATTAGATTCTGCCACTCCAATGTGAGCATGTGATGCTATTTGGTCATATACGTTGGCATTGATATGGGTTTTGGACAGTTGGTCGAATAAAGCCAGTAAATTATTAAACATATCAGGGAAGGTTGCGGGGAATTAAACACGCAGTTTCACCTTTTTTGTATAGATAAAACAATATCTAGAAAAGAATCATCAGATTAACTTGACAATGAAATGACTGTTGGCTACAGCTCTAATCAATATACTACTAGTTTGATTGATAGCTTGTACTAAACACCTGCACCCGTGTAACTGATATTGTGGAGGCTAAAGTCTGGTTTTCGTGTCTAAGGAATGATTATATCTCTGAGGATGAGTTTACAAAGGTTTTTAACACCATTACAGGGATTTATCAGGTGAATCAGAGCCAAAATGTCATTTAAATATTGTCATGAAAGTATTGATCACGTGATTGTTTGATCAACTGATGACACAAATGGTAAAGAATGTATAGTTGTTTTAAGGCTAATGCAAAAAAGTTCATCCAGCAGCAGAAAATGTTTAAGTTTCAAATTAATCATGTGACTTTTTGTGTTTCAGAGGAGGAAGTCAGTTTTTCCACTTGCCCTAAACACAGCATGACCACAGATGCTAGACATAGTAACCACAATGTCAAACCTTAAATAGTAAAAGAAAAGCCCTTCACAGTGTCCTATAGTCCAGGGTGGCGTCTATAAATGTATTGTTTTGGTCACAATGCAGAGATATTAAGTTGACCAATGCTGTACTGAAGTACAGTTTTAAAGTAGTTGTACCTCAGTATTTCCACATCCTGTTACTTCATACTGTGACTTCACTCCATGTCAGAGACAAACCATGTACTTTTTACTGCCCTACATGTACCTGATAACTTCAGTTCCTTTCCAGAATCAGATGAATCAAACCAAACCCAGTAGAACCATCAGACTCTATTGATCCCGGTGGGAAATCCACCACCTACCCAGCAGGATGGAAAGTACTTGACAGTATAAATATATAAGGTAGTTAACATCAGCTCCACCTTTACCAGCTGCAGCATTAAAGTGATGGACACAGTAACGCATCAGTCACTATGATCCAGTGGTATCAGAGACATTACTGTGACATGGGCTGTTCTGCAGGATGAGTAATGGTACTGTTGGTACTACAAAAACATCTTGCTGATAATACTTTTGAACCGGTCAACAGATTTGAGGATGTAGTTGAGAAGTTTAATAGGTTTTTTGTGAATGTGGTTCCTGGTTTAGCAAGAAGCATTCGTACAGATGATACATCCGTCATTATAAATAACAATACAATTGAAAGAAATATGTGTTCTATGTTTCTGAAGCCCATAGTTGAAAAGGAAACCAGAGATAGTGAACAAATGTGGTAAACCGCAACCGAAATAACCTTGGAAATCAACTGGACTTGGAATTCTAGATTGAAGACGTTTCACCTCTCATCCAAGAGGCTTCATCAGTTCTGACTGACTGGTGTTGAGTCGGAGATATTTATCCCCCTCGGTGTGGTTTC